TGGATTGGGCTAAATAACACTTAAAACCCATGTTTGGTAAGGAAGGGGATTAGCTTAAATGAGACTCCATAGTCCAACAGTGAAAAAATAACCGGACTCGCATGTCTTACACAGCGAGCCCCAAATGCACTTCGCAAAATAGCACCATCGCTATTTCGAACACTCGAGTCCTGCTGGATTTCCTTGCGCCTTGAATCAAAACCCCACCACCAGAGACCCAATCGACAGACTCTGGAAAAACCCAATACCCAGTGCTCCACCTTCTCCCCCGAATTTGTTCTCCCTCATGACCACCACCCTCAAGCCACACACAGACCCCTCTCTCTTCGCCACCCCAGCCACCCGTAGAACCCAGAACCATCTCTCTTCGTCATCTCTGTCTGTACACAAGAGAAAAACACAAATCAGAATAGGTTTATGGAATTGGTAAAAGAGAAGAACCAGAAAATAAAGAAACCAGAAACAGAGAATAATGAAACCCAAAAATAAGAAGAGAAAAGCAGTTCCAATTCGTAGAAGTTCCAAATAGAGAAAAGCTGAAAGTAATGAAATCAGAAACAGAGAGAAGAAAGAAGGAAAGAAAGAGGAAGAAAAGAAAAGAAGAAAATGAGATAAAAAAGAAGAGAGAGAGAAGAGAGAAAGAATAAACAATAAAGAAAAGAGAAAAGAAGATGAAAACGTTTCACCGTTACATACAGACAAGTTAATGAAATGATGAATTGACCAAAAAAATAAATATTATAATTTTATATTTATTTATTTATAGGTTAAATTTTTTTTAATTAAATATTTATTTTTTAGTCCGACAGATCACCAAACATAGTTCTTCACTATTTTTACAATCCAGCTTCTTAGTCCGATGCAGCACCAAACGTAGGTCAGTACTTAATCCAGCTTAGGCCAATCCGAGCTAATCCAAGACAGTCCTAGGATTTAGTCCAGTCCATGACAGTCCGCCGTACCAAACGACCCCTTAGTGGTCAACAACTTCACATTTGTCAGTTCAAACATAATGTGAGTTGAATCGAAATACCCTTTTTTTTAGACGGATTGTTCAAACATAAAGTGATTGCTATTACACTTTTGCAGTTTAATGGATTCTTCATAGGTCAGTACTTAATCCAGCTTAGGCCAATCCGAGCTAATCCAAGATAGTCCCAGGATTTAATCATGTCCATAACAGTCTGCCGTACCAAACGAGCCCCTATAGTCCAAGAGATCAGGACTGTATATATATATATAATAAAAAAGCAAACGTAGCAAATTCTCCCCTCCCCTCGCGTATCAACCCTACCCACGCGGCCCCCAGCCGCCACCCCCCGAAATCAAAGTAAATGATGATTGAGGCGTAATCCAATCAAATTCGACGCATTCATGAAGTGCAATCAAAGATCAGTGCCTTCTTCAAACTCACTTCCTCTTCTTCTTTTTCACCCAAACCAGCGGGCGCACTCCCAGTCAAACCCACCATCGCCTCCCCATCTCTCTACCACCATCTCTTGCAGCTACTGCGATTTCAAGTCATCCGATATGGCTGCTCAAGGACACCATGACTATATGCAGCGCCGGGTGAGGAACAGGGGTCTAGCTAGCAAGATATAGTGCTGCCAAAGTTCAATTTACTGCTCTATATTTTATAGCCATGCATAGCAAGCTGGAAGAAAAGTTTGCAACTTTTTTTCTTTAATTTGGACCACCAGAGAGTAAGAAAGAAAAAAAATTCAAGTGATTTGAAATTACAAAATTACTCCTGTCACATCATCAGATTTAACAAAATTTTAGACAAAGTTATCAGTATAAGGTAAAGTGAATTACCAAACCTTAGTCAAACAGGGAAAATGAGATTTTACCTTAATTTCAGAGGTATTGATGTAATTAAGCCTTAAAAATTTGCTGCTTTGAGAACTTTTGAGAAGCGACTTAACTTTTTTTGTTTCAAAAATGCATTTATGGCAATTTACCTTTCCCTTTTTTTTTTTAATAGTAACATTACAATTACTAACCTTAAAGCAACCCCTTTACCTTTCCTCTTTTTTTAATAAACCCTTTTACATTTCCTTTTTTTAATAACTTTAACAATTACAAACCTAAAAGCAACTCATTTACCTAGCACGACAATACAAATTCAAAAGCCTATAAAATCAAGACATTAACCACTTTTCTCTTCGAAGTCAGGCAATCACTAGTTTTTCAAGTACAACATTGCGGGTGGTTTCCTCTCCTCCTCTTATTCCCAGGGGGTCGAAGGTAGCCATATCGTTCAACTCTGCGCTGGTCCCACCCCCCGAGGTACTTTTGTACCACAAAGTCTAACACTTGGCTGAAGTCTGGAAATTTCTTTTTGAGTTTTATTTGTGATTCTATTGAATCAAGACCAACCGATCAATTCAATCAAGTAAGTCTCTAAATTCTAATTCTGCAATTTTCTAAGAGACATTATACTTAAGCATGTAATTAATGTCTGATTATAGTTTGATGTTTGTATGGCTCATCTTATTGGAGGATTTTTCTTTTTGCTTTTCTTAGGATATATTATTTCATCATTTATTGGTTATTGTTATTCATTATTCCAGACTTGTTTATCTTTTCAGGTACTTGAGTTGAGGGAATGTCGACTAACCCTTTCAACATCCCACCTGAACCTGATCATGATTATGATAATGACCAACCCGCCCCTATCCCTGTCCAACAGTATCCTCCTTATTATATGCCACCCAATAACGTCTTTTATTATAATGGCCAACTTGTCCCTGTCCAACATTTTCCACCTGTCCATGTCCAACATTCTCCTTTTTATCCCGTCCCAGCTCTTCCTTATTATGTCCCACGCGTTCCAAATCCTAATATCAATGCGCGACGCCCGAATGTTAGTGTCGTCCAACCCGTCTCAGTTCATCCTTATTATGTCCCACTCGTTCCAAACCCTAATATCAATGTGCAACGCCCAAATGTCAATGTCGTCCAACCCATCTTAGGTCTTCCTTATTGTGTCTCAGGCGTTCCAATTCCCAAAATCAATGCGCAACGCCCAAATGTCAATGTCGTCCAACATCCTAATCTCAATGTTCAACGCCATTCCCCCAATCATGTCTCATCTTATCCACTCGAACAAGCACTTATGTTACAAGAATTGTGGGAGGAGGATTATTTAGCATTTGGCTACCAAAACCTATTCAGGTTAATTTTATCTCTAGTGATGATTTAACATAACCTTTTATATTGAACTAATCATATAATTGTACCTTGAATAGGGATCTCATCGATTGCATTACACAACTAGAGGATTATAGTATCACGCATGGATATCTAAACAATGATACTATCTCAATCAGTAACTGTCATGCCAAAATAACTAAAATTCCAGAGAGATCTCATCAGAATCTTCCAAGCTTCATAGAGGAGTTGAGGCGTCTAGCATCCGACAAACTCGGGGACTATATGACTATACAGTCTCAGCATTTACAATTAGAGTTATGGAACTTCTATGATAGTCTAGAATACGACTTACTCAGGTAAGATATTGCTAATGTTATATTTACTATTATTTTCAGCATTATTAAGTGACACTTAGACTCAAGGGCTTAAAATTGTTAGACTGTAAACTTACTGATTTTCTAAATCTAATTTAAATCCTTTTAAAACATCTAGCCATGTCATTTAGAATATACCTAAAACCTTATTGTATTTATTGACGATGCCATCATTAGTCCCAAAGAAATTAGGGAGATTCATTATTATTTATACCCAATATATGAGCCTAAATTATTTTATAAATGTTTTTTTAAATTTAAAAAAAAAAACCCTATATGAAATGGACTTTAGAAACACACCCAAAGCCCATTTACAACATAACAAAAAATCTTTTAACTTCTTTTAAATTACAAAACTGCCATTGATTTCTTAAAACAAACAACCCCAAAACCTCATAAAAAAGCCCAAAACACTCAATAGGGCATCAAAGTAATTTAATAATCAAAATTAAATTCAATAGGACCAGTTGTCATTTTTTGGGATTTTTTTTATTTGTTTATAGAAATTAAATAGTGTACTGTTTATCTATAATATTAGTGCTAAAAATGAATATATGACTAAACTTAACCTGAGATTTTGAGGGCCCTGTGCAAAACTTAACCTGAAACCCTCACATAATCTAATATGAAAATACTAATTAAAAAATTTGTTTTATGACATAACCCATGGCAAAAAAAATTTATATTTTTTGCTTCTGTTTTTTTTTTTTAACTATTTTAAATTTCGTTATAATGAAAAAGAATAAAATAGAATGACATCATTGAGACTCAAATCTGGGTCTTGTACTAAGGGATATGCACTAGAAACCAGATCCACCAAATATACTTTTGTGTCATTGTGCTACACGTTGGAGTATACATATACAGTTTTTGCAATATTAATATATATTATAAAGTAAAAAAAATTTGAGGGCCCTCAAAAATCCGAAGCCCTATGCATTGGCGCCACTTGTATCATGTCAATACCACCCTACGTATTATATATGTACATTTATATTTTTAAAGTGACAAATTTAAATTATGTGTATGTTCAAGTAACATTTCTAAGATTTTTCCATTTATATATGAAAATCGGTTTAAAGACTTATATCAACTAGAGAACCCTTGAATTCAAAACGAATGATAAACTTTCAAATCAATAATTAAACAAACCACTACTCCTCCTAAGTCAAAAAAAGTGCACTTGGTTCCCCATAGTCGCACACATTCTTTCCTACAAACTAATATACCATATATCCGTTTCAGGCCCTTCTGGGGTTTGTAGATCCGCAAAGACAGGTATTTCAATTCATTTAATAAAATTGATTACTGATATGCATGCATACCAGAAATCCAATTGAAAAATCATCAACATTGAAACCCAGAAATCAATTATGAAACACAAATTTGAGGGGAGATCGGGGAGAGGAGGAGGTAGTGGGAAGAGGGAGGAGGGGTTGGCCAACGGTGAGGAGAAGGGGGCTACCCCCGGTCAGGTGTGGTGGCTGTCGGTGTTGGGTTACTTGGGTGTGGGGGTGATTTTGGTGGCTGGCTGCTGCTGAGGGTGATAAACAAAAACAAAAGGTCTATTTTACCGCTTGGGGAATGTAAAGCACGTGACTTGTGGGCGTGCTTTTTTATATGCTCTTGTTTATATATTTCTGCTGTAGATGAAGCTTCTTCTTCAGCCTCATCTCCCTCCCTCAATGCTGTTTACATGACTGATACTTGTGATTTTCAATTGTAATCTTCATTGAATCAAAGATTATCTCATGGCTTTGATAACGATTCTGACTTCTGGGTTTTGTTAGTTTATGATTATGGAATATAAATTCAAGTAATGCTCTAAGAAACTCAGCCTACCACACAATTCAATTATTAATTACTCAAATATTTCAATTGATTGATGAAGCAAGATGTATTGTAAAATTACCTGAGAATTCCAACTCAATGGAGTGTACAGAGCTGTTGCTATGGAGTTTCGGGGCCTTCTGGGATTTGCAGATTCAGGTCTGGTATTTGGATGTGGGTGACAGAAGAAAATGAAAATACTCACTGTGAACAAGAAAACGTGAGCCTAATTGAAGCAATTTTAGATCTACCAGTAGAATCCAATCTTACCAAGATCGAATAGTGATACGAACCTGTAACGAAGACCAGAGCTTATTCACAATGACCAACGGAAGCTCTGAGATCCTAGAGAGAGAGAGAGAGAGAGAGAGAGAGAGAGAGAGAACGAGATCGAAGGAGAAGCAGAGAGAGATATAGAATTGAGCAAAGGTGGAAGAACCCAAACAAGAAAATCTAATTTTATTTCATTTGGTGTTTTTTTCCATTTTCATTTTATTGAACTTTGATTATTTGTTTTAACTTTAATGTTTGAGGAGGTGGAGATAGAAAAACAAAAGAGATGGTGACTTATTGCGCTTCTCCCTTTGTTAATATAAGAAACAATTTAATTACATTTGTGATTAAAATAAACATATTTGTTTTGTATTATTTTTGTGCTAAATGTAGATTAAGATAAATTTTTTATAAAAAAAAGGATAAGTATATTAGTGAAGTTGGTTTTTCTCTTTGCCAAAAACAAAAATATTAAGTAATAATTTTTTATTTTTTGGTGACAAAGAGGGCTAAGCCCAGACAATAATAAGTAATAATTTCATTGTACCGTAATTACAGTGTAATGGCTTACATGGGCTTGCCATTATTTGGCACCATCTGCCTATCTTAAGAAACTTACAGGTTAGAATTTGGTAAGGTTGAAGATCCAATGCCTTGGTGCTGTGGTTCTGGTTGAAATTCTGCACAGCATTACAATCCAATTGTTGGTTCCACTATGCCTCAAGAGGCACAAAAACTTGTTTGAAACATGAATATCACTATTTTACTATACCCAACCAATTACGGTATACCACATACGGTAACTTTTTCACTTTGCATACCGTCAATACAAGTGTTTCTCATCAAGAGGGGTTGCATCTTGTACGGTCTACTGACTGCTTATATGTTTCAGTCTGTTTTTTTTTTTGGGGTCAAAGTGGACTTTCATTCATTAGTAAGGGTTACAAATGAAGCCCAACATAGCAAAGGTCAAAAGGCCCAAAACAAACGAAACCCTAGCAACTAAAACAAAACAACAGAAGGCAGCTGCCATGAACATCCCTGCAACAGGAGAAGCAGCAAGCAGACAACTACACACCGGGGCCAAAACAAAACAACAAACTTCCACTCCAACACAACAAACAACAACCCTAAATCCATTGGAACAAAGCCTTAAAATTGGAAAAGCATAAAACCAAAAAAACCCCAAAAAGGTACTCCACTGCGACGGACTTCGGACCCATTGTACCCAAAATCGCATCCAAGGGAACAACAGCCATACATCAGAAGAAACCGAAGGCCAAAACCAGCCCGTAGCCAGCAGAACCAACAAGAACCAATTCGTGGAAGGTGGTGGTGTGAGCACCCGAGTTGAAACTCTACCAATCTTCCGATTAAGATGCGAACACGCATGTAGAGAATGAATAGTTTTGGCAGTAATTTTATGATGTTCTGTTATCAATTTAAATGACTTCTAGGACAAAAAAGAAGTGCTGTTGAAATATCATATTTTTCCTGCACGAATTTATGTAATAGTAACATAATGCAGGTCTCCTTAGACAAAAAATAAAAACATAATTCTGGTTTCATGTTCAGGTGACTACAAATCCAACTTCCAAGTGCTGTAGGTGGGTACAGTTTTATAAGTTCTTTCATGGTCAGACAATAGGTTGCTAGTGCTTTCTTCCACTCCCTTCCCAGACAGCAGAGAGGTGAACTAGAAGAATAATGGTTTATTTGGATAGATTGTTTAATTCTTTTGATGTAACAATCGCTTGTACTACCACCATTGAGAAAATTTCCTGTACTTGCGGGCTTCTACATATGCAGCAATTTTGCAATCACAACTATAGCCTAATTAATTACCTGCAAAGTACTTTCTCCAACCCAAGAGCAGATTATTTAACAAAAGTAAAAATCCTGCAATAGCGACTTTCAAATTTTCGCTTCAAAACCCCCTTATCCTTTTATCACAATTCTACCACCCGGGCATCCCAAATTTAAAGAACCAAATCATAAGCAGGCATTGGGGGTGAAGAAAATTTCTTTCAAAATCTTCCAACATTCGTTCAAACCAAAAATACAGTACTCATTATAATTTAAACAAAGAAATCAAAGTCAACAAAAACAAAAGGGAACATAAAATCATTTGCAAGAAATGTCTTAATTAAAGTTCTGCTAATGCTTCCTCCGCTACAAAAGTCTCTGATAGAGCTTAAGAACTTAGTAGATACGGATTGCTTTCCCCATGGTACTTTTCAGGTTCAAGGACCTCACCTATTTGCACATGCAGACAAAAGATCAAAATAAGTATCATTACTAAATGGGACAAAACGATATAAACATACATATATTGAGTACCCAAAAGGTTTAACTAGGATGGAGCCATGAACTTACATTCTGCCAATTCTTCTTCAATAGTGAAACTAAGAAATTGACACTGAGTTGTACATTCTGAAAAATCTGCTTCTCCTCCATAGCCAAATTGCCCACAGCAACACCCATGCAAAGAACCTTCTTAAGTTGGAACTTCACCATTGCTTTGGTTTCATTCACTTTTGCCTCCAAAGATTCCTGATGACTAACCAATGTTGGAAACTTACCTGCACTTTGGCAAAAAAACTAAAGGTTACCAATCTATATCATATTATCTAATTATTAAACTAACATGCTACTTGAATCAACCAAATCTCCAAAATATGGGAGGCAGAATAGCTACAAATCAGGAATACTGACAATGAAATCCTACCAGAGATTGCTCAGAAAAATGTTACATGATATGATTGAATAGATTTGGAAAGACTCGACAAAAGTAGTTAGGATGTCATCTCAGGAAAGAATTTTTTTTCCCATGGTCCACAATTAATACAACTTTGAGGGTTGATACTCTAGTCAGTATCAAAATCACATTGAAGAGTTTTAAGCCACCAAACAACATTTGAGAGTAAATTCGGGAAACCAAAAGTTCAAGCTTAACCTAACAGTTAATTATAAAGTGTTACAGGCGCTGAAATTACTTGCCTGCCTTATTAAGACCAGGGCCTAGAAGACGAGGAATTTGCTTAATGACAGCTTCAGAAGCTAAAAATGCATGGTATTTCTTGGCAAGCTTCTTGACCAGTTTCTTGTTTTTGTTAAGCTTTTTCAAGCTTTCCACATCCATGTAGTCCAAACCCATCTTCTCTGCCTGTAGTAAAATGTAGTAGATATGTTATACATCTACAAGCAAGTTTGACTTACTTTTAGTTTGTAACAAATGCACCCACATAAACACACAAATATCAAACTCGTAAATAGTTTACCCAATGAACCAATTTACCTCTTCCACATGCTGAGCATCACCAAGCATGCAAACCCTCATCTTAGGACGAGGAATATGTGGAAGCCTGACAGAGCCACTGAAACGCTTATCCTTTTGTGGGTCATAGTTCTTCAACCCAATTTGAAGCTCAACTGTCTCAGTGAAATTTCTCTTTTTCGTTTCTGAGTTTGTCTTAATCTGAGCGATGGCCTCTCTCAGCCCGTCACTTGAGAGCTTACTGTTAACAAAGATGGTAAAAATATAAACTTTTGATAGTTGATAACAAAAACTGATACAAGAAGCAAATGTATAATTATTTTTTAATCATCTTGAAATTTTATACCATCATTGATTGAATAAACTCGCTGTCTTTTGCCCCCAACAACCCCCCCACCCCCAAAAAAAGGCCAAGTGACCAAAACCCACCAAGGCTTTCAGAAAAAGCTATAACAGATATACTCCCAGACTATCATGTTATACATTTCTGAGGACTAAATCCCTAATCACGATTTCTAGCCACTAAGCACTTTTCAACACCAGATATAAACAGATAAACAAGTTCATAAGCACACAAATAGCAGGAGCATTAAGCAATCTACTAAAACAAAAGCAAAAATGTGAGATTTTTGGCTTTCAGAGACACCAAAAACTGCTTCCAATATCCAAATCAAGCAAGAAGCCAAAAGCAATTACGATCTGATGAACAAAACAAAAGGGGAAAAGCGCAATTACCTCATGGTTACAGCCTTGTCCTCGCTGCAATTCCTGTGCAAATACTTCCTACAAAATGAGGAAAAGAAAAACAAGTGAAACTTTTAGCTAAACCGAAATGCTGAAGTCGCATAAGAGAAAACTCTAGTGGAGGCGGAAGAGTACCTTAAGAAAGAGAGCGAAACCCTAGAATAGGATTTGCAGGGCTGCTGCTGCTGAGTGAGGCAAAAGGCGGAAGGAAACTTTGGCGCTTTATAAAAACCCTAGCTGCTACGTTTTGTTTAGAGCACCTCACCGCTAGACCCAAACCCTGGCAACAGGCCCCCCAAGCCCAGGTTCCCCACTCCAGCGCGCAGCCTGAAGCCCGGGCAAGCCCAAGGGCAATTCTTGACTGGGCTCTAGCCCGAAGTCGCTGACTGGGCTCAATTTTGCCTTAAAAAAATTGCAAAAAAAAATCAATTTTTTTTATAAAAAAATACCAAAAAATTCTGGAATTTTTCCATATAAATATATAACCATTTTATTCACTTTCCACACCAAATCTTCATACAACTCTTCTCCTTCCAATATTTTTTACTCTCCACTCATATTTTTCTACTAATTTCCATTTGTATCAAAAAACAAATGGCATCTTTTGTCGAAGCTGGAGGCACGTGGACAACTCAGGAAGATATTATGTTGTGTGAGTGTTGGGTGAAAGTTAGTCATTGTCCGGTCACGGGCTCTGAAATCTGAGATTATAATTTTTTTAATAAATATTTGAAAATCTTATCTGAAATTTGATGGACACGTGGCAACTGAAAATCTTATCCGAAAATTTAATTTGAAAAATTGTATCCGAAAATGTTATTTGAAATTTTAGGTGAGAATTTTATAATAAATAGTGACACGTGGCAACCGAAAATATTATCTAAAAAACTTATCAAAATTAATGGTTAAGTATAAAAAATAGAAAATAAAGTAAAGTGAATAGTGTTTGCCCTTGCCCTTGCTCTTTGGGGTGGAACCAAAAAAGGCAAGGCTGCCACTATTCATGTGAATAGTGTCAAACCTTGCCTTGCCTTTGCCTTACCCTTGACTTTTGGGGTGGAGGTGCTCTTAGAGCAAGTCCAGCCATAGAGCCAAACCGGGCTAAAGGCCCCCCAGGCAAGCAAAAAACGAGTCCAGCAGGAGAGATCCAGCCCGGGCAAGGCATGGGACCCACCAGCCTGGGCAAGTCCACGGGCAAATCTTGA